TGGTTGCCTTGCTAAATTTGATGAACACACCGCTTTAATGTGGCGAAGACAGAACTGTAGAACTACGCACTTTTTGTGCAACTTTGTTGATACCGCGGATGCGGATCACAAAAGCCAATTTGGATTTTTCAGGCCCGTCGAATTGGCCGCATTTCTTTGCCACACAGCGTTACTCCATCTCACGGCGTCCATCACGGAGTTTTCTTGTTTGATATTTCTCAGCATGCACCAAGTTTTCACATTTACGGAGTGCAATCACAGCAGAGCGCTTTAGTTTACGTTTGATCAGGGTAGCAATTTGCTGACCTGCTCTTGCTGACCTGCAGCTTCGGCTCGGGGACAGGAGGCAGCTTCCTGGAAGGTTGTCTGCCCTTTGCTTGCGGTTTCTTACTTAGCACATTGAAAAGGCGAAAAAAAAGTTCGCCAAATGTTTGGAGCACATCGTAAATGAGCCACTCGATTTATAACATTTCTATAAACAATTTAATTAAATACTTTTTATACATAGATATGCTGCAACCATGCACTTACTTTCCCAAATTCCATCCTGTTTATCGGCATAATTTTCCAAATATGCCTGCTACTTCATTACTAATTACTAAATTTTCCAACTGCGCCTTCTTTGTTGGCTCGACATATCCTAAAAAGACAAATTTACATTAAACAATAGAAATCGCAAAAATTAGCAAATAAAATACTTGCTTTGTTTTGTTTTGTTGTCAAATTTCTGAGAAATGTGAATTCACCACGATGCGATACAGAAAGAACAAGGACCAGGGATGTAATTTTAAGTAAATCTATTATTCAGTGGCAAGGCGCAGAGCGTTCGGGGCAGCAATATTAATTTGTATCAAATATAACATTAAACGGTGGTTCTAATACATTTTTTGATATTATTAACCAGAGTACATACATTATATGGTATTTCTTTCAAAATTAATGTACTATATGAACTTTTTTTTTAAAATATTTCTTAAGTTTCTTTCATCAGTAATGAAAAGCAACCATGCGTGTAAGAAATTGTGTGCTACCTAAAATTTCACCTCTGGAAACTTTATCCCCATAAAGGACTCCACCACAGTTTTTTTACTGGATATACTGAGGTGCGATTGCTATCAGAGAGCGTAAATGTACGTTCTTTGTTGACTGATGCAAGGCGAATTAATATAAGGTGATAGCAGGAGTACAAAAACAAAAATTTACATGTATTTTGTTTTTGCTTTGGCGGCATAAACTGTCAAAATCTGTAAGAGTGTGTGTAAAAATTCAAACAAAATTTTTCAATTTGATATCAAAAGCCGTGCGGCGAAACACATACACAAAATCAGCTGAGCTAGTAACACCACCTTATATAAATTCGCCTTGGACTGATGACAGCAAGACGAATTTATTACAGATTTGACAGCACACCCCAAGACAAGGCGAATTTATACAAGGTGGGCTTGTAAAATCAGCTGATCTCATCGCCTTACATGTATTTTGTTTTTGGCTAACACCCTCCATACAAAATACATATGTAGTTCCAAGAGCAGTCCGGTTTACAGGATTTAGTCAGAACTTACAGGAAGTCGTTCCTATTGATATAAAACCTGTAAGTTGGAACACTTTTGAGAGAGTAACTGAGCAACTGTTCCTAGTCAGAAGTTATAGGATTTAGTCCGGAGTTTTTTTCCTGTAAGTGCATGAAAAGTGTCAAACAATCAGCTGATTTACATGTGCAAACAAAAACAGAAAGCGGTGAAAGCAAAGAACCTTATATTTGTTTAAAAATGGAAGTAAACGACGAAATATTTGAATATGTATGGATTCTAATAATTAGTTAGAGATATTTCAGCGAAATAAGTGTTGTACAAATGACATGTAAACAAACCGACTGACGTTTTTACAGGAAATAGTGCTTTTTGCGTTCCCGTGCACTTCTGCATCTGTTCTCCTTTTACTCTCACTTGAGAGAGTAAAATTGTAGTTTGACAGTTTCACAGGTTTTAGTCCGAAGGTCAAAGGAACAGACTAATGCACATTAGGAAGTACCGCGGCGAAAATCTAAATTCGCCATCCACCATGTTCGCCATGAACACCACCTTGCAAGGCGAATTTATACCAGGTTGTGTTGATGGCGAATTAAATTTTCGCCGCGGTACTACTGAATGTCAAATTGATGTGTTTGTTGTAAATAAGGCGAATTCATTTTACAACAAACACATCATTTTGACATTAGGTTCATTCCTTATCTTTTTGGACTAAAATCTGAAAAGTGTCAAAATGTCAGAGCGTAAGCAAAATGCGCTCACTAAAAGAGAATAACAGGAAAAGTAAAGGAGCGCAAAAAACTAAATTTTTAGTCCAAAGAATGGCAACAACAAAGCTAACGTCAAATAAGAATGTAAATGTATGTACAAAACACCTTCACACAGGAACATGCACAATAAACACTTTCTATATCAATTATTTTTTGCCTCCTTCCAATTTCAATTCACTTTTTTTACTTTTTAGATTATTCTCACTTTTTGCGTATTCTTTAATTTCCGTTAATTTAAATTCAGTCGAGTTTGACACTTTTCAGGATTTGCCAGAAAAAATTCTTCTGACTAAATATGACTACTTCGGACTGATGAGAGTCACTCTCACCGAGGGTTGCTCTCTTATTTTTGTTGTCATTTCCGAGTTAAGGAACTCTTTTTGGACTAAATCTGACTACTTCGGACTTTTTCTGACTATTTCGGGGAGATAAGGAACGCTCCTATTAAGACGTACCTCGGCGAAAATCTAAATTCGCCATCAACACCACCTTGTATAAATTCGCCTTGCCACCTTGTATAAATTCGCCTTGACCACCTTGTATAAGCTTTGTTTCTTAACAGATAATTATCACAAATTATCACTAATTTCTGCTGGAAAGCGTTTCTTAACCCAAAAAACTGGCAGAAACTAGCAGCTCTCTCTCGATCTTACGCTCTTCTTTTTTTGGCTCTCCTGCTAATTTCTGCTAGTAAAATTTTTACTAGCAGAAACTAGCTGCTGTCAAAATGGATANACCTTGTATAAGCTTTGTTTCTTAACAGATAATTATCACAAATTATCACTAATTTCTG